AAAAAAAAAAAAAAAAAAAAAAAAAAACAGAATCAGTTTCAGCCCAGCCTTCTTGGGCTTTCTGAAAGGGCCGGAAAATAGTCAAAAAATCCCCAAACATTTTTTGGGGGTTGGGCCATGAACGAACCCCCCCAAAATATATTTTTCCAGACCTACCGGACTGGACGTCCAGATGGTAACCATGGAAATTTTGGACTGTGGATAAGTGCAGTGGCTACTCCCTAGCTGAAAATAAGTGACAGGCCATCCTCTCATGGCAGGAATATCATGACTGAATGAGACAGGAAATGCCGGCCAAAGTGGAAGAATGTTTGATTCTCACACATAAGGAGTACGGAACACAAGAGATGCCTCCAGCGCAGTGTTGCTGATGATTGCAGGAGCGCCAGCAACACCAACAAGTCGGCTGCAGCGGCAGTAGGAGCAGTAGCAGCAGCTGAGGCTGCAGATGTAAGGAGCTGCAGAAGGATAAGAGTATTATCGGCGACACCAGATAAGGGTAGCAGTTCCAAGGGGCCTAGCCCAGTTGGTACACGCCTGAACTGTTGAAATACAGACCGAAGTTCGAGTCCACTGAATGAAGTTCAATGAACAGAAATAAAATAATTATGAATTACTACCAGTAGCATGAACCTATGTAGCCGTTTGAACGCTGTGAACATGCATTCAAGTTTGAACACGTACTCGCACTCGCGTTCAATTTTGAGAGAACGTTCTCTTTTTTTTTTTTTTTTGCTTTTTTTTTTTTTTTTTTTTTTAAGGAGCCGTTTCAGAAGCCCTCTATCCCAGTGGTGGTAACAGAACCACTAGGATTGAGTATTTGATAGTCGGGTTGCTCCATCTCCATCTATTGGTGGGGAGCGACACCTGCTGTAAACTAGGTCCAGCGTCACTCTCTCTCTCTCTCTCTCTCTCTCTCTCTCTCTCTCTCTCTCTCTCTCTCTCTCTCTCTCTCTCTCTCTCCAGCACAGTGCAGCCGAACGCTGTAGGGAGTGACCCGAACGGCACAAATGTTTGTGTGTGCCCTTCAAAAACGTGGGTCCCTTTTGTGCACACCGCCACCCACGGTGTCTGAGAGGGTTTTTTTTTTTTTTTTTTTTTCTAAGAGGAGCAGCTCGGTTTTCCGGGCCTGCGGCCCCTGTTACACCCCGAGTGACCCTCCCAACATCCCCACCCCACCCCCCTGCGCCCTGGGGACCGAACCGAGGAATTGAACTCCGTGTTCGGCCGTGTTCATTGAACGCGCATGCATTCCGTTCAAAAACTGAACGGAAAACCCGCGTTCAATGAACGCGGTTCATAGGCATGAACGGAGTTCGTGCCGTGACATTTTTTATTTTTTTTTTGTGGGGGGAACAAATGCTCCAGTCTATTCGTGGGGAGCAGCAGCGTGCTGGGAACCGGGCCCAGCATGTACTGCGAGATGTAATCCTGGACGACATTGTTTATTATTCATTTCTCTACCAGTAGCAGCTACACGACAGCAGCAATAGAAGCAACAAAAAGTACAGGTTATAGATGTTGAAATAGCAGCTATAGCAATAGCAGTAGTGGTAGGTATCTGGCGCCTGACACAGGGTGAAGAGGTTCTCTCCCTTTCTCCATCTACCTGCTCAGTCAATTCCCTAGCTCCTAGAGTATTGAAGTCCGGCAGCCATCTCTCAGATCCTTTTCGGGCAGTTCTCCATATTCATTCTGTATTTGGGACGCTGGACCCGTTTTCCAGCAGGTGATGCTCCCCACCAATAGATGGAGACTCTCCCCAGGTGCTAGCGGTGTCTGCTCTTAGCAGCACTGCTAGCACTGAAGGGGGTTGTTAAAAAAAAAAAAAAAAGCAGCAGCAGCAGCAGCAGCACAAGGGGTCCAATAAACTTGCAGTTTCTTAGCGAGCTGTAACATTACCGGGTTCTTGAGCTCAGGAAGAGGGGTTTTCCCTATGAGTATTTTGATAATGTGTTGTGTAATTTTTTGCGGAAGTTCGCAGGAACTTGGGCTGATTGGGCGGATTTGTTGACCGGTTGGGGGGGGTTGTGTAGGTGATCAAATGAGGAACCTTGTGGGAGTCTGCAGGGGTGAAGGGCTGCGTCCCGGGGGAACCATTGGGCCCCGGAACGGTCGCTTTGTTTGATGTTTCGTTTTTTTCCTTTTTTCGTTTCTTCTTTTCTTCTTTTTTCTTTTTTCTTTTTTCTTTTTCTTTTTCTTTTTTTTTCTTTTTCTTTTTCTTTTTCTTTTTCTTTTTCTTTTTCTTTTTCTTTTTCTTTTTCTTTTTCTTTCCATTTGCTGAAAAAATGTTTTTCCCGAGGTGGCGTAGGGGTCTTTTTAGAGGATTTGACGGATGGACACATGGCTGCCGGTAAACTGCGCTCTCTCTGCTGGGGTCTTGCCCTCTGAGCGCCCGTTTCTTTTCGGGCCGGTGGCGTTGTTTTCGGGACTTGAACCCAACCGGGTTCTGGACCTGGTGACGGGTTTTCTGGAGTCTTCTAAAATCTTCTGTCTGTTGGCTTGCTGAATCTGGCTCTCTTCTGGTTTCTGTTCCCTTGAACTTTCCGACTGCTTACCTTTTCTATATTAACTTCGGAGTGCTCGACAGTACTTAAACGGGTGGTTCTATTTGCTAAGTCCCTTTTTCCTAGTGACGTTAACAAGACCCCTGATGATTCCGGTATTGGCGACCGGATGAAACGCAGCGTAGGGTCGCTGCGCCAACATTTCACGTTTATCTTTCGATGTACTTGGCGGTGTTTTGAATCATATTCTTTCGGCCTGATGGTCGCGTTTCGGGAAAGGACTCTGTCTTGTCTTTGTCTCTTTCTCCTTCTTGTTTTCTCTCTCTCTGTTGCATACTGTAACGTGCAAACCAGAACAAGAACCGACCTCTCAATACAAAGTACAAGATAACACAGCGGAAGACTTAGATACGAATGATCCGAACAATCAATATTGCAATGCAGCCCTGAACACACATCATCATCATCGTTATCTGGTGTGAAGGGGGTCTGGCGCTTCACACAAGAAGACTGCGCCAGCCCCAACCATACACAGACGAAGAAGGAGGGATAGACGAAAGAGGAGGGGAAGATGGGAATGTCGTCAACACCAAGTCTTGGTACAGGCCCTAATAGTCCCTCGTCGAAATGTCTGAATCCCAATGTCCAGTCTGGATCCAATGTCGTCAAGTCTCAAGTCACAACTCTTTCTCTCTCTGTCGTAGTCTGAGAAGTCAGGTGGCAAGAGGGTGAGAAGAGATGGTGGACTTAGAAGAGGAAGAAGAAGAACTCTCTCTCTCTCTCTCTGTGTCCAGTACGAACCTGTGAAGTTTGCGCCTTGATGCAGGTACCACGAAGATGGAGCTGGAGCGATGGCGCCACAGGTAAGTACCACTGGCCTCCGCCAGTATCTCTCCCACTCTACGATCTACCACCTACCAGCGCCTAGCGCTGAAGACTACTCTATGGCTATGGGCGCCCAGCGCCGAAGACTACAGCTAGCGCTAACTCCTGCCTAGCGCTGAAGACTACTGCAGCGCTCCTCCTGAGTGCTGCGGCCCGAATCCTGAAGACTACTCGTGCGTACTGGAAACTACCTTGCCCGTGAAGTGCCTGGGAAGCCCTATGAACTACCCGGGTGCCTCCTGACTGCAGGCGAGCAGTCCAGGAGGCTGCTCTTGCCAATGCCAATTGGAGGCAGGGGCTGCCGCTGCAGCTCCTGCTCAAGCTCGTGAGGAACAGGCTATTTCTGGCCTGTTCCGCATCCCTGTTTACGTGCCTGAGTCTTAGGGGCGGTTGAAACAATGAGGGCCTGAAAATGGCCCTCCGTTTCAGGCTGGAAAAACTCTGGGACCCAGAAATAGGCTGAAACGGAGTAGGGCCTGCAGGCCCTCGTTTTTCAGCTTTCAG